ATATGGAACACTGACCTCAGTCTGTCTGTCTCTCTTATATGGAATGTTGATCTCAGTCTGTCTGTCTCTCCCTCTTATTTCCTGCATATTTCAAGGGAAGAAAATTGCCTATGATTTTTATTCCAGATCTGGAAATTAAATTTGCTTTTCTATGTGTACTAGCCAACTAAGCACCGAGGACTTAATTTCCACAATGACTCAACTCTTCATCATATTATGTCTTGGATTCCCAATTAAATGTCTGTGCTAAGCAGACCTCAGAGGTTACTTCTGATGATTTTCCTGTTACCTGAGTTTAGACTATACTTTGGACACAAACATGCACACCTCTAGATTCATCTTGACTCTCAATTCAATCAAGAATTAACACTAACTTTAAGAAACCATTGAAACTACTCAGGTTTTTTTCTACTGTAGTAATAAATATTCTGTATCATAGAACACCTAGACTTCTTGCCCTGTGAGCAGACTGTCCTCTGCCTGGGTCCCTCCTCTGAAACCAATCAAATGACATTGAGAAATGGGGGTACAGGAGTGGGGTCAGAATTCAAGTGAATGATGTAGACAATAGTTTGTATAATGAGAGGGTAGATGTGGGTCACATTACAGAGCCAAATTTGAGCTGAGGCTTTTCATGTTAGTAATCATAATAGAACCTAAAATAAACATAATCAGTAAAGTGGTTTTATAAAGCTATAAATAACACTGTGTAGGATCGATATGAAAGGAAGGAAGATCCATTTGTATTTTAATTACAATGAACAAAAATTTAGTCATGGGTGAAGATAGCAGGAATAGAAAAGTAGGCACAGATATGAGAGCGTTAGGAAAATTATCATCATCTTAGTTCAGTGTCTTAATATAGTGCTGACAGAGAAGAAAGAATCAAACAGGATTTCAGTGGGCATTGTTAATATGATGCAATCATTCATGAAAATAAGGAAGTGGAGAGGGGAAGTTGGCTTCAGTTTTGGAGAAATGGTTAAGGCTGTTACCATTTGGTTAACATCATGTCACCAGCAGATTTTTGGAAATGAAGGACTAACATTTGCATTGCATCATTGCATACTTATGATCTTAAAAGAGATGCTAGTCTGAAAAAAGCGTAAGTTTTGGGTTGGGTTATAAAGTATTGGCAAAGTTAAAAGCCATGAAGTTCCAAGAGGAGCAGGAGAGTAAGAGGTAGTAAAAATGGTAGATATACATGTTTATATGGTTTAGTTAATCATATACATGCATATATACTAGTTATATATAAAGTCAACTGTATACATTAAGATGTATGTATATTGTCTAAGAAAGTACTGTGCTTTTAAAAAGATTAGAGAAATGAGAAAATGAAATCGAATTTTGAGCTTTTCTGTGCAAAGAATGCCCTAAATATACGTGACGTTTTTTGTGTTGTTTTTTGTTTGTTTTTGTCAGTCGTGGAGCTTGAACTCTGGGCTTGGGTGCTGTCCCTCAGCTCTTCAGCTCAAGGTGAGCACTCTACCACTTGAGCCACAGCACCACTTCCAGTTTTCTAGTAGTTTATTGGAGATAAAGGTCTCACGGACTTTCCTGCCCAGGGCTTTGAACCCTGATCCTCAGATCTCAGCCTCCTGAGTAGCTAGGATGACAGGCGTGAGCCACTGCCGCCCAGCACATGACAACTTTTATAGCTATATTAGGGGAATGTCCCAAATCTCTCTCGTGGCAGCTCTTTTCCTAATTACTCAGCAAATATGCTGTGTATACCTGATAGTTATCTATATGTTACATATATCTACACTTAAGGTATAGATAGGGGAAATTGAAAAAGTACCAGTGGTTAACAAATGTATTTGTGTCATTGATTTGCTGAGGTCCAACATTTTGTAAGCTGAAAATACAGGTCAGGCCCTTGGGCATCTCTTAGTCTTAACAGGAAGGCAAGAAAAAGTATACAAAGAACCATCCTACATTCATACACCCCAAAGTTCAAGAACATAGTCATCCATCTAAAACTTTAAAATTTTAAGTGTCCCAGACATTCCAATCTCAGGTTCATAACTGAAATTATTAGCAGCAGGAGCTGATATTTGAATGCTTCTACAGGTTTGTGTCAACATGTGTTTGAATTAAGTAACTGTGTATACAGAGTTTGGTGGAGTATAACCTGAGCTTTCCCACTGCATTATTTTATATCAATTATTTTCCAGTAATCATATTTTAATATTTTTCTGTACTACCTTTAGTTTCTAGATGAGGAAAGTTCAGAGAGAGAATTCAGTCAGGGTAGCATAGTCGGCAATTAAGTGTGAATATTTTGAATTCACAATAGTACTGATCCTTGCAAAATTTGGCTCCGATGAAATAAAGTTTAAATATCAAAATACCTATTAATAGATAAAAGGATACATGTATTTTAAAAGTGATTGTCAATCTCAAAAAATTAAAAGTAGAACTGTCATATAAGCCGCACTTCTACACTGGGAACATATACAAAGGAAATGAGTATCAGTATATTAAGTAGATCTCTGCATTCCTATTGTAGCACTAGTCACAGTAGGTAAGAAATGGAAATAACCTAAGTATCCAATAACAAAAGAGAGGATAAAGAGAATCACACACACACACACACACACACACACACACACACACACACACACACACTATTCATTCAGCCATTAAAAAAATACCAATTCTAAACAAGGATACAGGTTGGCCCATTGTAACAGTGAGATGTAAAAGAAGACACTATGTTGAAAATGAACTTTACAATTTGGTAGGGGAAAGGGGGAGTTGGGGAGGAGGAGGGAAGGGATAGTAGAGGAAAAGAAAGGAGGAGGTAACAATGTTAGATAGCATATGTACTCATTACCTTACTCATGTAACTGTAATCCCTCTGTACACTATTTTTACAACAACAAAAATTTAAAAAGAAGAAAAATGAGGGAAGGGGTAACAACTTTGACAATAATTGTTCTTATTACCTTAAAAAATACCAATTCTCATTTGTTACAACCTAGATATGGAAGACATGTTAAGTGAAATAAACCAGGCACACAGACAAATATTTCATTATCTCACTCACCTGTGAACTATAAATCAACTCTTCTCACAGAAGTAGAGAGTTAAAAGGTGCTTACCAGAAAAAAAATAAGAGGATTCGAAGTTGAAGAAGATTAGGAGGTTGGTCAAAAGGTACAAAACTACAATTAAATCAAAGAATAGTTCTAGGATAGTAGGGAATGTATCAGGCATTTCTGTATAGCTTGCAGAGTGGACTTAGGATGTTCTTCTTTTTTTATTATTGTAAAGGTGATGTACAGAGGGGTTACAGTTACATAAGTAAGGTAGTGAGTACATTTCCTCTTGAACAGTGTCACCCTCTCTTATTTTCTCCCAGTTTTTCCCTCCTGACCCTCTTCTCCCCGAAGTTGTATTGTTAATTTCCAGCATAGTGTCTAGTGAGTATCACTGTTGAATTCATTCACCCTTTGTCCCACCTTTTCTGTGTTTCCCCTTCCCCTCCCCAAATCAGATAAACTTACATATAAGACAAGAGCTACAGAAATCAACAACAGGGACAAAAGGGTAAAAACAGAAAAAAGGACCACGAAAAAAAAGCTCTTGTTTCAGTTTCTTGGAGTCCATTTCAATAAGCATCATTTTACATAATGGTATGCACAGAGCCATTGAGCCTTTGTGATCCTATCCAAAAAAGGTAAATGTTTGAGGAGATCACATGGTGATCATCATGAAGTACTTACATGTAGCCAAACAACAAATTATATATATATATATATATATATATATAGTTTTGTTTTGTTTTTTGCTAGTACTGGGTTGGGGGGGGGAATTAAACACAGGGCTTCTCATTTGCTCACCTTGCTTGCTGTGCTGGTGGTGCTCTATCACTTAAGCCATGTCTGTGGCCCAGCTTGTTGCTAGTTACATAGGAGATAAGGCACTCGGACTTTTCTGCTTAGTCTGGCTTCAAACTGTGATCTTCTAGATCTCAAATGTCTTGAGTAGCTAGGAATATAGTTGTGAGCCACAAGCGCCCAAATTGTTTGATTTTTTGTATGTTAAAGTTGTTAAAGTGATTTTAAATTTAAGCTTAACATGGAAATTATCACTTAAAAATCACAGTTCTTTACAACTTGTACTTTGTACAATGTTCTTGGGAAATCTTGCTAAGGCCCTCCAGGTCCTCTGTTTCTTGAGTCTATTTTAAGCTCTATTTGTACAGGGATTTATCTGTTTTGTAAAGCTTGAAGTTGTAGCACCTTAAATTTGTAGCATTCTTTTATATGTCACAAAATCCCAGGTGGCTTCAATGATAAGATGCTCTATTACATCCTAAGAAACTACAACATCACTAAGAAAGAAAAATTGAAGCCTGCCAATTAGTCTGCCATCTGTATCCATGAATTTCACACTTATGGACCCAACTAACTGATAATTATAAATAATTTCAAAGTCACATCTGTAGATTTCAAAGATGATTTTAAATACATAAGAGCATTGCATAGATTATATGCAGTATAATCTGTGTGCTTGAGAGAGGATTGGCAAGTGATGAGTGCTTTACACACATGTGCACAATAAAGGTGTGTCAGGCCAACATGTGAAGACATGGATCTGAAAAGAATACATGAAGAAATACGAGTTTGTTGTTGTTAGCAGAAAATGCTAGAGAGGGTCGTGAGAGGTACAGATCCAATACCTATTTCCCAAGTGCCTGGAAGAATATCTGATATATGGTAGGCACTCAACATCTGTTGAAAGAACAAATGAGGTGTAGACCTCGCAAAGGAGTCCAAACCGCATGCTGGGAACTATGGACAGTTAACAGAGGAAGTATTAGCACACGTTGAGGTTTTTTCTTTTCCAAATTCTTCTAGAAACATTGCCCTGTGTTATGACTCCTCTAACAGGAACCTCCTCTTGCCCAGCTAGGGATTCCCTTCCTCTCTTTGCCCTGCCTGCTCCCTTTGCCAAGAGCACTGCACAGTCAGAAGCATTCTCTTGGGGATGCTTCCAGGACAAAGCAACTGTGGGGAAGGAAGTCCAATTGCAGAAGACAGTCACTCCCTTTGGGTACGTAGGACTCCGTCTATCAACTTCAAACTGCTTCAGGGCAGGGCTGCTGCCCATTGGACCAACCAGTAAGCCTCTGGAAGACCCTCCTCAGCAAACCAACCACGCTTCCCAAGGAGAGCGCAGGTAAGTCTGGCTGTCTGCACAGACTCTTGGTTCATCCTCTATGCTACACCCTCCAGAGATGCCTGTTCTGCCACTACCCTTGGCAAAATTGAAGAATGTGACTTCTGCAGCTGAAGTTAGTATGGCTAATACTACAAGCTAAAATCTGTGGGAGCAAAGCACATGAAAAGAAACAGGAGAGTTTAATTATTAGATAAGAGTTTGAAGGCCACAGGATGAGGGTTGGGCTAAGACCCAGAGAGGAATAAATGAAGGATAAGCACTGTCACCAGGTTCAAAGGCTCCCAGCCAACAGGAGATCCTGTCCATCGTCTGGGTATAACTGGGTCTCCTCCTTTCACTTCTCAATGGCACAACTGTCTTCCAACCCTCCCTCAGGTGCTCTAGGAAAGAGGTTGACTGAGGGCTGGAGAAAAACAACTTGGTCCCAAAGTTCTCATGCTGCTGCCCTGATCCTCCCGGGCTTCCATATCTTCACCATCATGAACTGGCACATGATCATCTCCATGCTTATTGTGGTGGTCCTTAAAGTGATTGGAATGACCTTATTTCTGCTGCACTGTAAGTATTTGAGCAATTGCTTCCCCTGATTTCCCTATTGTCTTGCTCTTTGATTCTAGTCAGGAGGAAGGGATAAGTGTACAGGTGAGGTCCTAGGTTTCTTCACCTGAAGTCAAGTGACATAGCCTGGGGCCACTGACAATGCCCTTCTCACACGCAATGTGTGAGTGTGAGCACACGCAATGAATCAGGTTCTCTGGTCTACCTTGGAAAAGGTAGTCCACAGTGTATGAGAAAACTGTGTTTCCTGAATCTTACTTGGATAAACTGAGTTTGAAGGGCTTCTTATTGCTGCTAAGATTTGAAAATAGAGTTCTAGTTCAATGATATGGTGATGTTAATAGCTGAACTATGAATGAACAAGATTTAACGTGAGGGGGAAATTTGACAAATTCTATAAACTTTATACACATGTTAATTCATCTCCATGAATTAATTCATAAGAGGAACGCTTCATATCAAAGGATTTCACTGCAATTCAATAAAAGTAGAATCTCTAGGCCCTTAAGCCAATAGCAAAACAAATGAGGAAGGAAATGTGAGTGAGTAGGTCACCGCAGTTGGGTAAGAGTAGTTAGTCTGCCTTGGGTAATGCCCGTCAGTTACGAAAGCAGAAAGGAAATTTCAGGACAAATACGTGAAGATGTCCACGTTGCCACCAACCTGAGTCAGAGAGAATAAGGTTTCCTAAGTTTCAGTACCCTAGAATCCCCTGTGGGCTTGATTGCCACATCCTTTGCGTAGGCACATTTGGAGCTGGCTTTCATTGGCAGGAGGAAGTGTGTGTCATTCCCATGGGGAGCTAGGGAGCAGATGGTGCACGCAAGGGTATTTTCCTCTCTACCATCCAGCCTCCATGAGGGGAATTCTTACAGATCTTCCTCTAGGTCTTCTTTCTGGAAATAAGGATGAATTGTATAGAATCAGTTTAATATAAATATAAATATGTAAATATAAATGTGCTTCTTAGACTCTGAAGTGTAGTCATATAGAAACCATGCAGCACAAAAACCACTGTACTAAGCATGCTAAGTAACGTGGTATGTGTACCTAAAAGTATAGTATACAAGACAGAGAAGAATAGCAAAAACATGATTTTATAAAAAAATAAGGCAAATGTAATAAATCATGTGGGATGTAGAAATAGATGATAAATGATAACTAGCTTGAGAGAGAGATCAGTAGATAGATAGATAGATAGATAGATAGATAGATAGATAGATAGATAGATAGATAGAGATAGATAGATAGATAGAGATGGCTCTTCTATTAAAGCCCCTTCCTCTGAGCCTTTCCTGAAACCACTCTCTCATTTTCTCATATAACACTCTAGTTATTCTTAAGATCTTCAAGAGAAAGACCTTTTCTCGTTCATCTATATATCAACTCAGTACAGTGAGTGTTGTGAACAAAATATTCATGAAACATATGCATATGTATATACATATTATATATGTATGTGTATATATGCATGTATTTGTACATGTATGTTTCATGACTATTTACATATATATGTGTGTTTATATATATATACATATATATATATATATATATATATATATCAGTTTCTTCCAGTTATAATTCCAAAGTAGTTTCTGATGAAAGGTGGGATATTACACATTACAAGGATTCATTGAATCAGGGAATGAAATTAGAAAATGAATGCTAATGTCTAAGTGGGAAAAAATTGTATCTGGGTAAAGTGGCCTTTTCCCATAATAACAAATAACTGAGTGTTGAGTGAAGGTTTGTCCAGTCTTGGAAGCCCACCAATTTGCCTATTGTATTTAAACAGACTCTTCTCTGTTTATAGGAAATCTCTCGAATGTTTACCCAGTTGCTTCATTGCAAACACCCACTAGGTTCTGAATCCTGCTCCAATTAGTCACCATCTTTTTGGGCTGTGAAGGTGCAAATAAGAAGAACACCCAATATCTTCCAGGATTATAAATTTTTGTAGAGGGTTTGAGACAGAAGATAAATGAGAACAACAAAAATATTCTCTAGAGATGAAATCAAAGAACATTTCAAACACTTCTGCTTTGAGAGATACATTGTCCATATTGGGAAGAAGAAAATGGTCAATAAATTATATAGCATGGATAGTTTGCACCTGATCCTAGCAACTTAGGAGGCTGAGATCTGAGGATTGTGGTCCAAAACCTGCCTGGGCAGGAAAGTCTGTGAAACTCTTTATCTCCAATTAACCACATCTCTATCCCAAAAAGCCAGAAGTGGACCTGTGGCTCAAGTGGTAATACAATAGCCTTGAGCAAAAAACCTTAGGGACAGTGCCTAAATCCTGAGTTCAAACATCAAAATAATACATATGTATATTATACACATATACACACATGTACATGTACAGCACATTAAGACACGATGATGCAGTTTTGGGAATGAGTGTAACATTCTTTGTTATCTAGGAAAAAGTAATTTTCTACATAAGCCCACAATAGGCCTACAATTTACACACAAAATGAATTTGTTCTCTTGATATAACATAAACCATGTATGGCTTACTAATATACTATATTTATCTCTCTAGGCCAATGATTCAGTCTTTATTTGTGTTAAATAAGTTTTCAGCTGTTTCAAGTTTTCAAGGTAAATAAAGCTAAAGATTCTTTAGAAAAAAAAATCAGAGAAAATAGCTTTAGTTTTTCTCCATTGAGTATAATACTGGCTGTAGGTTTGTCATATACAGCCTTTATTGTATTGAGGAAGGTTCCATGGATTCCTAATTTTTCCAGAACCTTCATCATAAAGAGGTGTTGGATCTTGTCAAATGCTTTTTCTGCATGTATTGAGATAACCATGTGGTTCTTATCCTTGCTCTTATTGATATGATGAATTATGTTAATTGATTTGTGTATATTGAACCATCTTTGCAACCCTGAAATGAATCCTGTTTGATCGTGGTGTATGATTTTTTGGATGAATTGTTGAAGTCGATTGGCCAAAATTTTGTTGAGAAGTTTTGCATCAATGTTCATCAAAGATATGGGTCTATAGTTCTCTTTCTTTGATGAGTCCCTGCCTGGTTTTGGGATGAAGATTATTATAGCTTCATAGAATGAATTCAGTAGTGAACTTTCTCTTTCAATTTCATTGAAGAGTTGAAGGACTATTGGTGTGAGTTCTGTTTTGAAGGCCTTGTAGAATTCCGCTGTAAAACCATCTGGTCCTGGGCTTTTCTTAGATGGGAGGTCTCTTATTGCTGTTTTTTATTTCAATGCTTGACATGGGTCTGTTAAGATGGTTTAACTCATCTTGGTTTAGTTTCGGCATGTCGATATTTGCTAGGAAAAGGTCCATTTCTGCCAAGTTCTCAAACTTATTAGCATAAATGTTTGAGAAGTATTCCCTTATAATGTTCTGAATCCTGGTTGTTTCTGTGGTGATGTTTCCACTCTCATCTCTGAGTTTATTTATTTGGGTGTGTTCTCTTCTTTTACTGGTAAGATTTGCTAAGGGTCTGTCAATTTTGTTAATTTTTTTGAAGAACCAACTCTTTATTTTGTTGATTCTTTCTATGGTTTTTTTGGATTCTAATCATTTAATTCTGATTTAATTTTAATTATTTCTTTCCATCTACTGGATTGGGTTTATCTTGCTGACACTAAAGCTACCAGCACAACTATGTTTATTACAGCATTATATACCATAGCTAAGATATGGAACCAACCCAGATGCCCCTCAGTAGATGAATGGATCAAGAAAATGTAGTATATATACACAATGGAATTCTATGCCTCCATCAGAAAGAATGACATTGCCCCATTTGTTAGGAAATGGAAAGACTTGGAAAAAATTATATTAAGTGAAGTAAGCCAGGCCCAAAGAAACATAGGTCCCATGGTTTCTCTTATTTGCAATAACTAGTATATGTCTTAGTCAAGCAGAAAAGGTCAGATAAGTTGATGTTAGGGGAATAAACCCCAAGATAAGTATTCAAATTTTTTTGTTTTTTTTTCCTTTCATGCAATTGTTTTTTTAACATATTTATAAGATGATTTCTTTGTTGCTTTGTATGTCCCTCCCCCACAGTATAACCCATGCTTTCACTGTATTTGATGTTGGTATAATTTGTGGAGGGGAAGGGAAAAAACAAATCGTTTAACTAGGGATACCAGTGAACCCACTGCAACAATGAGATGTACAAGTCGTTATGTCGAAAAACGAACTTTACAACTTTGGTGGGGGTGGGGGGAGGATAGGGTGGGAGAAGGGGGAATATGGGAAGGGATGGGAAGGGGAAACAAAGAGGAGGCAACAATGCTTGATAAGAAATGTACTCGTTGGGGCTGGGAAGGTGGCTCAGTGGTAGAGTGCTTGCCTTGCATGCCTGAGGCCCTGGGTTTGATTCCTCAACACCACATAAGCAAAAAGAAAAAAGCCAGAAGTGGCGCTGTGGCTCAAGTGGTAGAGCGCTAGCTTTGAGCTGAAGAACTGAGGGACAGCGTCCAGGCCCAGCGTTCAAGCCTCACAACCGGACCCCCCCAAAAAAATGTACTCATTATCTTGCCCATGTAATTGTACTCCTCTGTATGGTATTCTCACAATAAAAAAATAAAATAAAATAAAAATATGAATGATTTAGAAATTATGGAAAAAATACTCTCTAGAGCTTGGAGTATAAGTGCTTGCAACAACTGTTTAATAATACAGTAGCACTCTTCCAGGGATCTAAATTCCTCCATTACCCTTCTCTCTTATTCTTTTCCCCTCTTGGTTTATCATATCTACCACCACACCAGGAAGAGAGAGAGAGGGAGAGGGAGAGGGAGAGGGAGAGGGAGAGGGAGAAGGAGAGAGGAAGGACATGAATGAGGACTGGGTATTGATCATAGAAAATCGTGTGGTAGTTAGAAGTGTCAAAGAAAGAATCTGAAAAATTCCAGTTCCCTAATCATGGCAAATAGTCACAGGACTCAGCCCATGCTCTGAAGGTCGTATGTTATAGTCACTGTATAGTAACCTTTAACGTTTCTTCTTATTTTAGTCTCACAGATTTTCGGGAACAATAACAATGGCCTCATCCCTACAAGAAGCTATGGAACAGGTAAAGTGTATGGTTTTACACCTCTCCACCCACATCTTTTTGTATTCTGAATTTGATAGTCTTGAATTTTTGCCTCCATTATTAAGGAACTTTTTGTACAAAGAGTCCATAAAGCAAGACTTTCTAGTTTACTCCCTCCAAGTCATTCATGCACAGAGAAACCGATTAAACTGGCTGGAAAGTCTCTCTGGATTAAGACCAATTTGAATCACTGAAATTGCTATAACAGAGCATAATATAATAAAGGAATTGTAAGCATGTAGTAAAATACTGTTCCATCATTCTGTGACTGTTCCAGGGCATACAATCCACACCACTCATTCCCCAAGTGTCTCTTCAGCTTGCCCCAAAGACTGGGACTTGCATCAAGGAAGGTGTTTTTTCTTCTCCATCGGTGAAGAGCACTGGAGCAGAAGCAAGGAAGACTGTGTAACAAAAGACTCTACTTTGGCAATTGTTAACACACCCGAAAAACTGGTAAGAGTGTGGCATGGCAGAGGAAGGCAGCCCACCCTATATAAGCTCGGGGGGGGGGTGGAAATGTGGTGGGCAATGTGGTGGGGTGAAATGTGAGGTAGGGGAAAGAAATGTAGAAATGGCTGTCTGGGAAGTTCAAGCTCCTGGGTCTGAACTTGGGGTTGGAAGAATTTCTAGAGTATGTTCTTCAGCTCCATCTGAGCTAGAAATCCAGATGCTTGACTTCCCTATAAGGCATTGTAGAGGCTAGAATCCTAGGGATGGCACAGGAAATGGCCAGGTGCAGTGGCACACACCTGTAATCCCACCTTCTCAGGAGACAGAGATAGAGAGGATTGAGGTTTGAAGCCAGTCTAGGTAAAAATTTAATAAGATTTCCCCCTCCATATCAATCAAAACTCAGGCATTTCTGGCATGGGAAAGGGAACATACCAGTGGTTCCACATAGGGGACACAAATAAAAGGATTCCAGTTCAAATCTGGCCTCAAGGAAGTAAGATTTTAGGCAAAATATAATTGAAGCAAAAAAAGAGGGGTGGCTCAAGTAATAGAGAACCTGTCTAGCAAGCAAAAGGACCTAGTAAAATAAGAAAGAAAGAAAGAAGAATGAGAGAAAGGAAGAAAGGAAGGAAGGAAGGAAAGAAGGAAGGAAGGAAGGAAGGAAGGAAGGA